TTTGACTCTTTATTGTAATGATTTAATAGATGTATACTTTGTTGGCGTATTCACCGGACGCCACCATTCATCAGCCGAGCGCTAAGATGTTTAACATGTTCAGCAAAGTGTATGTACTCTCAAACAACGGGGTTTGTGTCTATGACGGCCCACCACAAGACGTCACCAGAACTTTATCACTCATAGGTATTGTATTTTTTAATTGTGATTAATATTATTAGTTTTTTTATTGACCATAGTTTGTCTGTTTGTAGGCCTGCATATACCCCAATATTATAACCCTGCTGATTTTATCATTGAGGTGGCGTCCGGTGAATACGCCAAACAAAGTATACATCTATTAAATCATTACAATAAAGAGTCAAATCGGCAAAAGTTTGATAATATGTCGTCCGACGGCTACACCACTGTTATCAATGCCATCGCAGTGGAGAAGTCCAAGAGAGACAAGTATTGTATCCCTAACTATATTACACTTACCATATAATGCAATAAATCAATAATCAAAAAGCGTTTTGCATTTATCAATAGACCTGCATTGAAACAGATCTGGATATTAATGTCACGCATATTAATAATTACATACAGAGACCCAAATATGTTTTTGTTAAGTAAGTATGCGTTTAAATAAATATAATTTATAGCTTAAAACAAATTACACAAAATTATAAAAATGTAGAATATATAAATGTACATGGGCAATGAGAATGTTTGAATGTGAATGAATTTGAACAGGGGTGTTAACAGTGTTTCCAACCGCGTTTATGATCGGCTGGATATTCACCTCACGGGTGGGCCGGGCGTCCGGTTGTCCGCCATCTAAACTGATGCTCTGGGATGAGGACATCAATGAACTGATGGCTAAGTTTCAGGACGAACGGTACGGACTTCAGGAGAACGTGGCCCTACTCTTCCTCTCGATGATGATGTGTATGTTTGGCACGTATTCAGCCATTGTATTGACGTTTCCCTTTGAAATGAACGTGGTGCTCAAAGAATACAGTAACGCCTATTACAGCATATTTGCCTATTATATCAGCAAAATTGTCACAGACTTACCATTCTGTGTATTGACCAATATATCATTGACCGGTATTGTCTACTATATGACCGGCCAGTTGTTTGATACTTATTATAGGCCTATGTATGTCATACTCATCAATACGTTGGTAGGTCTCAGTGGACAGACAATAGGTAATGGAATTGATATAAGACTTATAGGTTTACAAATTATTAAATAGACATTTAAAATGTAATTTAACTATAGGCATGTTCTTTGGGGCCCTCTTTATGGAAAACCCAAATTTGGCAGTATTTTCGTCAGGAATAAGTAATTTAATAATTTGATTGCAAATATTTATTGTTGAAAATTGTTTTATTAATAATGAATTAATTTCGCAAACAGTAATCTTACCATTATTTATATTCGCTGGATTTTTCCGCAAATTATCACTAATGCCGGCGTATTTCCTGCCAATCAGTTACGTATCGTTTTTTCGATACTCACTGACGGCGACACTAATCTCGGTATTCGGACTCAAGCGATGCCAATACGAGCACTGGTTGGCCGAGAGTGTGATGGACGTGACAAACATGACACGACCGCAATGGATCTCATCCATGTCTGTACTCCTCCAATATCAGTCCCAATTCGCCGGCGCCAGCGATAAGTCCACAGTTGTGGTCGACGCCAACGGCGAGCCCGAAGACAACCTGTTGATCATGTTTGGTGGCGGCAAACTGGCCAATCACACGTTGACCTCGCTACTTTTGACTCAATTTGACATAGACGATAGTGAGGACTCGCTGTGGCACGAACTCAATTTGTTGATATTCTTTGTCGCTGTAATGTATTTATTAGTTTATATACTCCTTAATTGGAAAGTTGGCCGAAAACGATGAACCGTTTCTGTTGAGGACATTGTATTCATTCACAATTCGTTGTCTCCAATGAATACCAGAAATTATAATTATAATAACAATAATAAACACAAATCTAATGAACCCAATGGTGAACACATTGACTATATTGCAAGAGTTGTTGCCCTTCACGTGTGTATCTTCTTCTTCATCTTCTCTTAACCTTTAACTTTAAGACAGACTTTTGATTATAAATATAAACTCTATTTTCAAGACTACTGGTTATACAGAGGGAGAGAAAAATATTTATTTATTTATGTGAAAAATATCATTAAATTATTTTTCTAAAAGAATCTGTTTTCTTGTCCTAAGAAATGAGTTGAAAAGCTATTCCGAGTAATAAATTCATTGAATAACACGAATAACAAGTATATAAACATAATTTTATTGATCCATTAATATTGAAGAATATACAGCTATTTCTTTATTATATTTATAGTTATTTATCAATACTTACAAACAAATTGATTGTTTAAAACCAATTCTTCTTATTGAATACTTTTAAAACNAACTTTCCAATTAAGGAGTATATAAACTAATAAATACATTACAGCGACAAAGAATATCAACAAATTGAGTTCGTGCCACAGCGAGTCCTCACTATCGTCTATGTCAAATTGAGTCAAAAGTAGCGAGGTCAACGTGTGATTGGCCAGTTTGCCGCCACCAAACATGATCAACAGGTTGTCTTCGGGCTCGCCATTGGCGTCGACCACAACTGTGGACTTATCGCTGGCGCCGGCGAATTGGGACTGGTATTGGAGGAGTACAGACATGGATGAGATCCATTGCGGTCGTGTCATGTTTGTCACATCCATCACACTCTCGGCCAACCAGTGCTCGTATTGGCATCGCTTGAGTCCGAATACCGAGATTAGTGTCGCCGTCAGTGAGTATCGGAAAAACGATACGTAACTGATTGGCAGGAAATACGCCGGCATTAGTGATAATTTGCGGAAAAATCCAGCGAATATGAATAATGGTAAGATTACTGTTGGTTAAATTAATTCATTATTAATAAATATTTGTAATTAAATTATTAAATTACTTATTCCTGACGAAAATACTGCCAAATTTGGGTTTTCCATAAAGAGAGCCTAAAGGTTTAATTTAAAAAAAATTTATGATATTTAACAGTTTTGGTTTACATCAATTAATTTGCTTTGAACTTTACAACAACAAAAAATGTTAAAACATTTTTTTTATAAACTTTCAGTTAAAAAGATAATTTAATTAAATTATAAACACTTTTGTGGTTTAAATATTAATTAACTTTTGACGAGTGAGAGAACAATGTGTCTAATTTGTGAAAAAATATTTTTTAAATTTAATTATTTTAATATTTCACAGTAAAATTCATAAAATATTGTATTCTCTATTTTACATTTATTTTGAAAAATAATGAACCATTGATTTCACAATAGACTTCATTAAAAAGTTTTCTATGAAAAACTATAATTGAATTGAAATCTAATTTGTTTTCTAATTTATATTTTTATACATAAAGTATTTCATTTCTATACAATTATTCAAATCAATTATATTTGTTTCTGGGATTTAATTAATTAAAAATCGTGGTCTCATTCTGAAAACGAGTTTTTGTTGTTATTTCTTATGAATATTTAATTTAATTTATGGTAAAATTCCGCTACATTTCAACAATAACTCGTATATAAACTCTTATTATATTTTTTGCTCAATTATACATTAAATATAATAAATTAAATTATGATTTATTATTAGAAATATATATTTTCTCCAAAAAACACTTTCTTTAAAAGCACTTTCAATCCATAGGAATAAATTCGAGATGAAATATAATATAATTTTTAGGATTCATTAATACATTCATGCATTAAAAGTATAAACAAAAATATTTTGTTCGTTCCCAAAGTCATGGCAAAGACTTTTAATAAATACTGTATTTCTGTATTAACTAAATCAATACATAAGACATAATTAAGTGTTTTGAACTGGGTGGATAAATTGATGTTACGCAAAAGTAACCACGGTCAATTATCTATATTTGGTAGACATAAAGTTCTTTATATATCACACACACGCTGTGACTAAGACTAAGACTATGGTAGGTGTCGGGTGTATGAGAAGCCATACAAATAGCGGTCACCACTCAGAAGATGGGCAGCGTTTTCATAGAGGCCGACGCCTGAAACGATCGTTTGCTGGACTGTTGCCTATGAATGCCTCGATTGCGGAGATAAAACACTCGCCTCTTGAGTGACTCGAATACACTCTTCTTGAGTGTAGTGATGGACAGTATGAACAGACCCTGACATGAGAGGAACAGTTGCGAGAAGTACTGGAACCATATCTCGCAGACAAAGCTCGAGATGAAATAGATGACCCACGCGATGCCCAACAGTATGGACAGCTTGAAACACCACATGAACCGCTCCCTGAAGGTGGCCTTATTGGCCAACTCGGTCTCACCGGTGATTCGGTTCAGTTTCTGGAGGGTCTTAGCGAAGAAGACAATGTTGACAAACATGATTAAACAGCCGGGTATTGTGCTCCACATAAGTATGGCAAACAGTTGGCTCAGACCGCACACCACCTGTCCGTACATTGGCTTCAACGCCGACTCGCTTTGCATTGTGTAGTCTATGCTGACCGCTATGCCGACGATCACAGCCGGTGTTAACCACGAATAGAGACTGTATTTTATGAATAGAGACGTCCGCTTGTGATAACCTATATATTGTCAGTCAATACAAATATTATACTCAATAAATCCATTATATAAATGTCAGGTTCAGTCACACCATATTTATGATTTCATTTTTTTAATAAGATTATTACTTTGATAAATATTATGCATGGTTGGTTTAAGCTTTACTGTAAGATACAAATAAAATTGACCATGCACTTTGTTCATGAATGGAATAGGAGTTAAAAACTAAACCCCACACTCTATTACTTAATTATTTGCGATTTTCAAATTGGAGTATAATCTTATGTTATCGTATAACTGATATAACTTTATAAATCATAAGCTACTTGTTGTTGTTGTAAATGAAAACAATTATTATAACTTATAAGTCACGACAAAATAATTGTTATGCAATAGACTTAACGATTGTCAAAGTAAATATACAATTAAAATTATATTTCTGGTAAGTTTATATTGTACTGAAAACACGAAAATAATAAGTCTAAACTGAATAACAAAATCATTATAACATTTGCGACAAAATAACATAAGAAACACGAGATGAAAATTAAATTCATAGACGTCATATACAGACTAAACAAATGAACCTAGCGCAATAACAGATCAATTATAAGTTAAATGATGATGGTACCTTTTAGCGATGTCTTGAGTTGGTTGCGATGCGGCAAATGGAATGTCCAGTGAGTGTCAAACGCGAGTACAGACATCCAACAGAAGGCAACTAATATGAAGTAATGCCGACCAATGCCTACGATTATACACATTATGTTCTCACGACTCGTCTCCGTGTTGTAGGAAAGTATCAAAAATAGATTTGTGGCCAAAAGTGATAACGAGAGCGACATTAAGCACTTGCCGGGAAGGCTCTGCAACTTCGGCACAAACCCATACACCGACAGTTGGATTATGAAACTCACGATCGATGCCGTCATACATATCTGTGTCGACGACGCCCGCCATAAGAGAGATATACAAGAAATACATGTTATATTGTGTTTGCTTTAATTACCCGGTGTTAACATTAGATTAGAGATTAATATATGATTTGATTTGTTAGATATGAAAAACTAATTAAAAGTTTGGTCAAAGAAAATTCAAAGTTATTGTGGCTTTAACTATGAAAGGTATCAAAGTATGGATTTTAAATTTGGTTTTGATAAACCTTTTGCGATGTCATGAGAGGAGAGATAATGTCATGGATTTTTTTACTGAATGAATGAGTTATAGACAGTCTATGAATGAATTGCGGAAGAAATACATGTAACTTTATATAAAGCTATATCTGATGAATGAAAAACACAAAAACTCTATTATGTTTGTGATTATCAAAGCAAATGGTATTTATTTTTGATGTAAACTCATTCATATATTTACTTTATATTCTGTATGAATGAGACGATTCTTATAATGTTGTCCTAACATATAAAACATAATTTATTTAATATACAAATTAAAGATATAATTTATTGCTTGTTTTTAAGCTTTATTAGGCTCATCAGTAAATAAATTAACAAGTTATTTTCACATTAAAATTATAATAATAATATTCTCTGTTAAATTAATCATTAGCTTTGTATATGAAATGTTTTAACGGTTTTATATATGAGAAGTATATTCTCATTATATTCACGTATGAGAAGTATATATACTTTAAATTAGCTTAAAATGGCATTAAAATTGCTTAAATATACTAAACTTAATGCCATATTGTAGTGGTTTTGCTTTGAAATGATATTATTATTGTGATATTATTAATATATAGACCCATATCTTACATGTATTATAACCGGTTATATCTGGACCTGAA